TTAACACAAAAATATTAATTTTAACATTTTTTAAGTCTTAGAAAATCCACTATACGTCTATAAGTCAAAATTAGCATTTTATTTTTTACAGTGTATTATAATAAAATATATATATAATTTCCATAATTTTAAAATATGTTTACCAATTTGTAAATTTATACATACAAGGTATTTTATGATTTCTGTATTCCTTTGACATTTATTCTATTGTACCGTAATCAATGATTGCATTTCTTACTCTTGTTCCGTTCTATCACCGATCGTTCCATATTCTAAATACGCATGGTTAAGCAAATCGAACATTTTCTATGTGCTAAACCTTTTAACACTTAGAATAGGCTACGTTAAAGAGAAGACTTTAACGTTGCCTGCATCCATTTGTTAAGTATGCGCGTATATAATTCAGTATGAATATCTAAAATGCAGAGAGAAATCGATATCAAGAGCACGCACAATGTTTGTTTGGCAAGATTTAGTAGATTTTTTTATAAAATAAAGGAAATTTCGCATGCGTGTAGTTAGCTGAATGTGGCACGCGTTTAAGTCTATCGCAATACGTGCATATACGCTGCATAAATATCGGGCTCGTATCAGATATATCAGCGAGATGTTAGTTATTGATAACAACGCGAGGGCGCCACGCGACGGCAGATGGAATTTTGTCAGCATAACCGACGGCAAATTTTGCTACGAGTCGTGAAGAATAGAATTAAAAGTTCTGCAAAATAAATAATAAAAAGTTGATATAAAATTTTACTTCAGATGCATTTATAAAATACGTCTTAAAAAAAATGTTTTGTAATTATTCTATTTTATTTGATAATCAACCTTTTCAAGACTCTTTCTGATTTTTTTTAGAAATGGGATATATATATTGTTTAGTTATTTTTAAAGATTGGAGGAATTATTGAATACAAAAAATGAGATCGAAACATAAAAATTCAAAATAATGAATCTAATATAGCGGATCCAAGAAATAAAATTATCAAAATATAATATAAAATTGTTTATTATGGGGATTTTTGAATAACTAAACACGAAAATAATGTCAAAATATAAAAATGCAAAATAATATCCTAAAATGGATTCAAGAAATGAAATATTATTAAATTATAACGCAAAATTTTGGGGGATTTTCCAAAAAAAACCTATTTAAAGATAAATACCATTAGACATTAAACGTTTTATAAAAGTAAAAAAATTGTGACAATTAGTTCTACAACATATTGCTAAATAATATTATAACGTTTTATCAAAATTAAGTATTCACATTTGATAAGAAGATATATATTGGTGAAAGCTATGTAGAAGGATTAAAGTTTTTTTTTGCATCTGTAAATATCCATCAATAGCGTTTCTCTACAAATAGTTATTTTTCATATTGAAATATGAAAGGCTTGAAAATTACGCGTTTATATTATGTACAGTATAAACGTCATCAGAAATTTATCAGTTATATTTTAGTAATTCATGCGAAAGTAATATTGCACATCATATCGAACTTTCCATGGTTAGCCCGAGAACTTTCCGATCTTATTGCGTAAATAATTTTTTATGTTATATTTATTACAATATTTTTCAGCTAAAGTTTAAATAATTTTTTTTAAAACAAGTCTCAGTTGAACAGAATAACTTATTTACCAAAATATGTTTAAAAAATATATATAATATGTATCACTAAACTTGAAAGAGCTGTTAAACTAAGCGTTACTTTTTAAATTAATCTATCCACATTGTCTCAAAAAATAATGTGTGTGTGAAGCTAGCGTCTCATTTGGTGGAAGCTCATTAAATATTGAGAGTTTTAAGTTTATTTTCAATAGTTCTATAGTTCTATATAGAATAAATATAATAAATTTGGCGTCTCATTTTGAATTTTGAGTTTCTCGGCTTTAATGGTCGGAACTATTTATTTATCCTATACAGAACTATAGAACTATTGAAAATAAACTCAGAACTCTCAATATTTAATGAGTTTCCACCAAGTGAGACGCTAGCTTCACACACACAAAAATAATATGGAATTATCTGTTGCAAATTCGCACATACCGTGAAAAATTTCTCACTGAAAAAAGAAGTGTTTAATTTTAAGATATTAAAATGTTTTGTTCTTGTCTCAATTTTTTAAACACTTAAAGATGTTTTAGTTTTAAACTTTTTCCATAAACAAAACACTATGTATTTGGACTTAAAATACATAGTGTTTTCAATTCAAACAGGTACCTATAGTGTTTTGTTTATTGAAAAAATTTTAAACTAAAACATCTTTAAGTGTTTAAAAAATGGAGATAAGAACAAAACATTTCAATATCTTAAAATTAAACACTTCTTTTTTCATTGTTAAAAAGCATATCTATCACCAATTGAGGAAGACATCATATGTTATCTTTAAGGCAATGCGAATCAAAGTATCAAGATTCGTGAAAGATCGAGAAGTCAACAAGAGAGAGACGACGTTTAAAATGCGTTTTCCGGTATAATTTCCATACAGAATCTTCTCTCTCATCCGAAGATCGTGCCGATTATGCGGAGCTGGCCATGCATCACGTTTCGTATCGTTGCGAGAAATAATCGCGACGGCTGCGCGACCGTGTCGCGTTTAATTACGCGAGGTTTCAACGACGAGCCACGTCAAGTGCACCCCGAGCACGCGAGTATCTATCTATGATATTGATAGATAAAAGATAAATTGATTCGCGTATAGCGTTTGTGTACCGCGCGCGATCCCGCGGAACGACGCGCGGCCCGGGGGACGTTGAATAATAATTACTGTTGCCGACTCACGACACGGTACTATTGAGTTATTCCGATGCGAGTTTATCAAAGTGGGTCAAGCGATTCAATAGCAGCCGCGACGGAGGAGAAACGGCCCCATCGTCTTTAACGGCGTGGGTGGTAGACGTGTGTGTGAGGTGCCATAAAAATCGCGCATGTAGGAGAGTCGTTTACGCGCCGGCTACACAACGATCCAGAGGTACGTACGCTTATGGAAAAAGAAAACGTGGAAGAGAAAAGAAGACAAAAAGGAAAGATCGATCCTTTCGCGCGTTAAGATTGGCGGAAACGACGAGAGACGCACGGACGACTCATTTCTTTTAATCATACGTGCGGATTAAGAGACGGTTGTTTTACCTCCCTAATTATTACCTACGCCAAACAGAAAGAAGGCGGAATATAGTATAGCCGACCTAACCATTTCGTTCTCTTCGTTTCTTTTTTTTTTCCTACGACTTGATTGAATACGAGGCGTTTTCTGGTATAAAATACTTTAGCGTCGAGTACTGCGGCTCTTAAAGCAAGCTCCGTTTTATAAATAATTGAACATTAAGTAAAATAAATGTGAAATCCGATTAAGGGTCTCTTTCACTAACCTCGGTTAAATTAACCGACGGTTACATGGGGCTCATTTAGGCCCAGTTTCCCAACTCATGGTTAACTTTTAACCGAGGTTTAAAATAAATTAAATCTCGGTTAAAACTTAACCAAGGTTAAAAAAGACCCTTGAGAAATTTGTGTTTTCTATTTTACCGATTTTTAAATTCACTTCTGTTAAAGCCGTTATCACATTACAGGGCTGCGTTCATAAAGTATACTCCGAGTAGAATTAGAGTAGAGTTGGGTTAATAAGAGTTAACTTTAAAGTTTGTGTGACTTTGTGAACGACCGGAGTATTAGTTGAGTTGATGATAGTAATAGCAGTTAATGGCCGCTGTTTAAAGGCCATCACACGTACAAAAATTTTAATCGTAATCGTAAGGTTGCAAGTAAATCGACCAATCACAATCAAAATTACGATCTCGCGTTTAAAAACGCTCGACTGTGATTGGCCGATTTGCTTACGGCCTTACAATTACGACTAAAATTTTTGTACGTGTGATGGCCTTAAGAGCTGGTTGTTCCACCTTTCGATAAATTTTATCCGTTAGATAAGTATAGCAAGATTATCCAATCACGTGCGCGGATTACCAGATTTACCTAACAGGTAAAATTTACCGAAAGGTGAAACAATCGATCCTAAATATTTTGTTAGTAATTATAACTTAAAACTTAATAAAATACCTTATAAACCTAATTTCAGAAAAGTACCTTATATAGTATGGTAGAAAATATGAAAAAAGTAATTTGTTTTACTATATTTTACTATATTTTACTATATTTTTATAGTTTAAGGTTTTGAAATAATAATTAATTAAAATTTTTTTCACTAAAAAATAGAAAATAAATTACCTATAACATTTTGTACTAATGTAAGGCCATTTTCATTTGTAATTCTTTCTCCTGTTTCGTCTGTTACTATTAAATAATTTTCCGTTTTACATGCGTAAAAGTATATCCCAGATCCGCGGGACAACTATGGGTCTATCAAGTATCTAGGCTCAGTCTAAGTCGGCAACACTTTCAAAAATTTAGGTTAAAATAAGCAGATACTCATTACTGCGCATGTCGAGTTATTTTTACCCACCTCTTTGACATGAGTTAAGAAAGTTAACTCGAGAGTTAATTCTATCAAATTTATGAACGGCTTACTCTGAACGTACTTCCAGTCATATTCGAGTTTCTGAACGCTATAAAGCTAACTCTAGTTAACTCTGAGTTAAAGAGTAAACTTTATAAACGCAGCCCAGGTTGCCGATTACGGTTGTCGGTTCTATTTTCACCAATCACGTTGCAGCTAACCCACACTCGCTGCATCATGATTGGCTAAAATAGAACCGACTACCAGCAACCGTAACCGGCAACGTGTAGTGTGATAACGGCTTTAACAGAAGTGAATTTAAAAATCGGTAAAATAGAAAACACATTACGGCCTTATTTCCTCTTCTTTTCCATTTTCTCAATTTCGCTGCATGATACGCTTTATATTATAATACAATTTATTCCATAAATCTGCAATTTATCAAAAACGGTAGGAATCTTTAGAGATAACTTGTAACAATTCTGCTCTTTAAGCAAGCTTTTGTATCAAGAAGAATCATAATTCCCGAAAAGTAACCTGAAGCTTAGACTATGAAACGTTGCATCATATTCATAATTAATCTGTCTCTCAGTAATACCTGCAAAAGGTATAAGGGTAATAGTTAAATTGAAATTCGGTCCCTCTTGGCGTGTCCTGCTGAGAATTGGGACAGCATCAATTGCAAAAGCAGTAACAATAGCCAACATGGAACAAACAAGATTGTACAAATATTTTTTTCCTCGTTATGTCTGTGACGAACTATGAGAAGACTGTAAAACAACCTATTTATAGTGTCATTCGACAATAGCGTTACGTTAAAGGCGAGCAGTCATGTCACCGATGAAAAGTTAACCGGAACTAATATAGAGAAATCATGAAGAAGCAAAAGGATTAACGGGACAAGGAAAAAAAATAAAAGAATAAAGAGAGACGCGTGCCCATTGTTATGCTAACTACTTCCAAAAACACATCGAGCAAAAAAAAAAGGGAAAGCGTTTTGCTCATGTGTTCTATGAATTATCATTTCATTCGTGAGTTAAGCGTGATATATGCCTTATCCAGAACGCTCGTCGAAGACACCTTCCATCATGCATCATATTGTTGCATCGAATGCGCATCAGTGTTTCTTTCCACACGTCTACTCTCTAAATCTGAATCAGTGGATAGTCACTAATTACCCAGTGGCATACTTGGCACTGATAATCAGTGAAGTTCAACTAAAAAAAAAAATATTTGAGCATTATATGACTAAAATACTGATATTTAGATGTTAATTTCAATCTTCCAATACCATATTCATTGAATTTAACCACTAAAACAAGGTTAGTTAGATCACATAATAAAGATTAGCTAGATTAGGAATCTCACATTTAATTCACTAATTACCATTGACATAATTGGCACTGATATCAGTGATTATCCACTGATTCAGATTTAGAGAGTAACACGCGACGGCGAGAACGTCCGCGAGAATTCTAAACATGGATGTCTTCTACAGAACTCGAGAAGCGCGTAGCTAACCTTCGAAAATCGACACGTGTCAGACACGTGTGACCCCTATTTCCACATGCTGCCACAAAATGCCGAAGACAAAACTAACAATGAGTATTTTCTCGCGCGAATGTTCGAATGAAATTTTAAATCTTATATTGTTACAGCAGAACTTTCACACCAATGAATTACGATGCCCGCCACGTGTTCGTGATAAATGTTCTTTGAATCTTCGTATTAAAGCAGATTCATTCGAATTAGATACAGAATCTGATAAAAGTTGAAAAATACGTGGAATGCGAAGAAAACGCGCAATATTAAAAGTGATATACAACTCTTTCCAATTCTACAAATTTTAAGTGATACGTTTATCTAGCGATTCGCTGTACAATGAAAGACAACACAATTGTTATCGCAAAACGATATCTACATTGTAGGAAATTTTTGTTGTAAACTTCCAAAAGTATTGGAAGTTTTTATCCAACAAAAATATGCTGTAAATTTAAACAGTTGTATTATGAAATTAAGATTTTGTGTTAAAGTATATGCAAATCTCTGATATGCAAGCGCGCCAGTTATGTAAATTCACAACAAATTTCTATTGTAAATTTACAAATATTGTAAAATCACAACAAAACGTTATATGGTTTGTAAATTTACTACACATTTTTATTGTAAGGGTAGGTAAATGTCCCAGTAGCCGGACGTTTAAGCGTTAGATTCTCATAAATAATACAATTTATAATATCAAAAAGGTTTTTAACATAATTTTGTATTCATTTGAAAACTCAAGACTCCCTTAAGCAAGGAAAAATTATTTGAACTCACTTATAACAATTACACAGACCTGCATGGTTTTGTTGATTGGGATTTGACTATGTTTTCTTGCGTAACTTTTCGCGCTGAATCCGAATTCGGATGCAGAATTGCTCTATCACGTCAGATTCACGTCATTTTATGCCAAAAATGTTTTTTTGTGTGACTACGCAGAGATTATCTCGGTGAAAAAAAAACGTACGGCGTTAAAAAAAATATATTTTGAAGATAAAAGTTGGCATTTTAAGATGGTATAAACAAAAGTAGAAAAAAAATTTAGTTCGTTAGCAAAAAAATCACAAATATGTCAAAAAACGTCAATTTTGACACCTTTAATCTCACTTTTCTCAAAAACCTGACATGATAGAGCAATTCTGCAGCCGGATTCGGATTCAGCGCGAAAAGTTACATAAGGAAACATAGTTAAATCCCAATCAACTTTCAACACCTCCAATTTTGCAGGCCTGTGTTATTAATTAAAATATTTAAATAAATAATAGAATACGTCAATGTACCAGGCCGGACAAGCCGGTCGGATATTGGCTATGTTACTTTTTATTGGCTTTTACACCATGTATTTAGGCCGCGGCCTATACAATAGATGTCCTTGTTTATCCTGTATATTAAACAAAGACACCTATCGTATAGGTCGCGGACTAAGCGCACGGTGTAAACGTAGCCATTGTCTCAGTGTCCGACCACAATTGGAAAATTAATATGCTGACGGAAAATAATAATATAAATAGATGTTTAATGACAAAAGACAATTGATTCAAATTGATCTTTAAGCTAAAAAAAGCATTTGAAATTAATATTAATTTAAATAAATAAAATTTTGTGTAACTATCCGGACATAGGTACTGTCTGATCTCAGTGACTAAACATGTACCTATGTGTTTACATAACACTTTATTTATTTAAGTTAATATTAGTTTCAAATACGCTTTTTAAAACGTAATATTATTATTTAATTGTAATCTTTTAATGTATAATAATTAAATTATAATACTGTAATAAAAAAAAGCATTTGAAATTAATAATAATAAATTTTATGTAAGTGTCCGGACACTGGGACGTTTACCTTATTATAAATTCCCAAACATTTCTAACAGTGTACAATGAGATTTTAAGGCGCAAAACTTAAGCTTTAAGTCATAAGAAATATCAATCACAGACGAATGTGAGGAGAATAATGAGGACTATAATTCGTCAATTTCTTACGGCTTAGGGCTTAAGCTTAAATTTTACGTCTTAAAATCTCATTGTATAGCCGCTCGACAGTGATGTAAAAATGTTTGAGACAATTGAGCAACTCACGTTGTTACACGACCGTAACCAAATCTTCATCCCTGCTCTTACGCAATTACAAAGTGAAAGCGCGACCGTCGTCACTTTGCGTGTGCACAACATCCGACTTTCAGTCGTTTCAATTTACCCTCATCGGAGAGACGTGAAGTTCTCCTTATTCTTCTCCCTCCTCCGTTGTCCATCCGTGTCAAAGATAAGGGATGGTTTTCCTGTCCCCATGACTGAGCGCACATAATCGTGATTTATCGTACGTGAAGCGTGTCGTTTGCATCGAGGAAAATGCGCAACAAGTGTACCTCTGACGCAGCAGGTAGACGATGTACCCTTATTTACAATGTATCTGTGTGCATCCGTCCCTCTGTCTCTCTCATTATATTTTTGTACCATCGTACCGGAAATTTCATCGATTTTCGACTTGCCACGCGCCAAATTTCATAACGAAAGCACGACGGGATTTCGTTTCTTTTTTTTGTCATAACACGAGAAACTGGTATGTCCAATACATCATCGAACAAAAAAACCGTAAATAATCACATCGAAACGGACAAATATGAAGCAATTCTCATGATGACAGTAAAAGAGACTGAATAGTCCGAGATCGGAAATGCGGCAGTTACATACAAAATACACAAAAAATAAAAAAAAGAAACTGAACAAAAACTTGAAAGTTAGCCGCCTCTCGCCTGACAGGCATTGTATTAAATTATGAGTTTTCTGCGAAATTATTAAGGAACGATCAGTTATGATTGGCATACACTTCTATTGAATCAGTTTCATTTTTCAAAAACTTATTGTGTTCGCCAAAAGAAGGCAAATGCAACATATTATATTTTTACTGGAATTAAATTTTTAAATAATTAAATTTGCAAATTTTATTAATATTTCCATATTGAGCTCTATATAAGCGGATATTGTAAGCTCAGAGCAGACATTGCATTGTTTTTCGTTAAAAATTTTTGTGGTTATTATTTAAAAATGATTTTAAGTTCTTATACACTGAGAAAAATGGTCTGGTTGGATTAAATAGTAATTCTGGTGGAAAATGGACGAATCAGAATTTTCTGGTTAAATCTATTAGAATTCTAGTTGAGATAATTAGAATTCTGATTGATATTCTGATGATAATTATTCTGGTAAAAATGAGAATTCTAGTAGATTTTACCAGAAATATTGTATCAACCAGAATTCCTGTTATCTCAACTAGAATTCTAATAAATTTAATCAGAAAATTCTGATTCGTCCATTTTCAACCAGAAATTTTTTTCAGTGTAGAGATATCTGCGAAGCGAGATTGAAGAGATGAGATACTCACACACAAAAAACATTCACGAAAGAGAAACTTTTGAATCTGATATCTCAATATAATCAAAATTTTCTACGAATTCAAGCATGAGAAGTTCAAATAGACCTGAAGAATCAGATTCTGTATAAAAATATAATACATGGAGAGATCCCACTTTATCCTACATTTTATCATTTAGATATTATTCAGTGATGATAGTTTTTTTCATTTAAATAACTTTTCTCATTTTAAACTGTCTTTTTCAAGTGTTTTATATTAAATGTAGATTAAATAAGTTGTTGCTTGTAATCTTATAGATTTTATTATAATTTAAAATTAAGTTTAGGAAAAGAAGTAAAGTAGAATTATCATCTTTTTCTCTAATAATTTGCTCAATTATATAATTTGTTCAATTGATATACACGTATTAACCAATTTTATCTGTCCAAAATAACCTGCATTTTTCCAGTAGTTTCGAAAAATATAATTACCGATATAAAAATTATACAGCGAATTTGGTTGGAGGCACTAATGCATAGTACATAATAAAAATTTTTACATACTTGTGAAAGTTTTAACATCGAGTTTTTACTATTAAGAAGTAGAATCGGATTGCATTTTATTTATCTTTTAGAAATTGAAATTTATTTACCAGAATTTACAAACAAAAAATAGCTTTCAAAATTCACTGTTTTCAAAAT